TATATACACAGTATATATAGTGTGTGTATATCTCTTGAGCTAAGCATTGCAGTTTTTGCAAACAACTACAGAAATGTGCCCGCAGCATAACATTCTCAGACTTGGATTGTATCCTGTCAACACAATCAGATGCTTATCAGTGCGGCTCCGTGAATGCACAGTGACAGACAAGACGTGAAACAAAACATCCTTTTGTGTGTGTATCTAGAGTGGTCATTGCATTGTGCTTGTGTGTACATATGCATTGAAGTGTCTGACATCTTTTCACATTGAGAATAACAAGTGTGCGCTACAGAGATCACATTAAAAAAATAAACAAAATCCATACCCTGCCAAATGCCCATCCACCGTGCAACACAAGTTTAGAATCTGACTGATGTACTGTAAATGAAGAAACTGAACCTAGTAGTTGCACRACTAACTTCATTTAAATTCTCTCCATTTCTGCAAACTTGCTACATCAGACAAGTGGTTTCAATCTCGTTTAATTGTAGCTGACTGGCAGAGGTACACAAACCTCCAGCTGTCATCAGACTCAAGCCTGATGGGTGCACAAACCTGACATAACCTTTTCCTAGCTGTACGGGGTTTATTTGTGTCAATAAAATCTAGATTTGCAGTCTCCCGAGTCATCTCTTTGTTAAAAGTTTTAATATAGAAAAGCCTCTTTTGCCTCTTTGAGACAAGAAGAAACAACAAAATCTCCTTTTACACCAAACTGAGATGCCTTCTTCCATGTCTCAGTGAGATTCATGTACGGATCAAGGCAACAGAGGGGGTTAAAATCAACCTGCTCCTGTTACACATCTGAGCTGCTGAGGAAGGTAGTCACAGAGCTGAAATGGTCAGTTTGCGTAAGGGTGTCAGTATCACAGCTAGAGGGTGGGATGCAGTTATGACAGACATTGGCTACTAAATTTTAGCAGTTCTGTTTTTACATAAGACAAATTCAAAAAATAGATTTTTCTGTTGTTTCAGACTTGCTACATGATGGTTAATTTATTATACCGATCTGACCTTTTCAGAGTGAATCAGAAAAACTGGGATGCTCTCTTTCATCATTTTGAGTGAATATTTGAAGCAGTAACTATTGTGTCTGATCCCAGACAGTGAGTATGTAAGTTCAAATCTGTTTAGTGTATTGATTTATTTATTATTACCTGCTGAAAGGTGGTGCCAGCTTCTCATTTTTCTGATCATCTGGTCATGAATCATGAGACAATTTTTAATGAAATCCTCAACAAGAACTGAATAACTTTTGGAGTTAATCCTATTTAAGATGGGCACCACAGCTAATCAGCCTTGGACAAATACAGAAATGACTAAGAATAGAATAGAATAGAATAGAATAGAATAGAATAGAATAGAATAGAATAGAATAGAATAGAATAGAATAGAAAGAGCCTTTATTGGTCTAATAGCAGCAGCAGATACATACATCAATCCACAGAGACAGTATATTGCCATGTGACATTATCAACTGTAGCAATAATAATAGAATTAAAGATAGTAGCAATACAAAATAAACATAGAATCAGAATAAAAATAAGAATATAATTACTGTACTATCAAGATGAAATTAGTTAAAATTAAAATAAAAACAAGATACTGTGCAGAAAAATACAAAATTAGAAGAAAAAACAATCATGACAGACTAGTGCTGGGCGGTATACCGTTTTGTATCGAATACCAGTTTTTATTTTTGTTATGATATGAATTTTTTGAATACCGGACATTCCGGTTTAAATAGCGGAACGTTTCGTCGCGGCCGCCAGTGAACTGTTGTTTCCCAGGGGACATTTTTCCTTGCTGCACCGCTATGTGCGTTAGCATGATAATGTTTGGAGCAGCTAGTTGCAGCCGCGGGTAGCGATTCCGCTGCTTATATTGACTGACGTTTAAAAAAACATCCCGTTTTCACCGTCGCTGAATGTAGTAAACACCTCTTCGGTGACGTGCACAGTTAGATTTAACGCGGTTAGTTAATATGGAGACGTTATGCTGATGGAGACTTAACGTGGTTTTATTGTGAAAAGCCTGCAGGAAGTAGTTCGTAGTGGAGTTGGAATTGACTGGTGTGCAAGGTGAGTCGTGCTGATAAGTTTTAATAAATAACATAAAACAATAAACCCTATCATAATCTTTTCTTAACCCTCCTCCTTCATGACTGGACCAAAATACGTGACTACTGTCTCCAACCACCAGTCAGAGAAGAACAGACACAGAGGAGGGAAACAGAGACACAGACAGAGCTACAGGAAAAGAAAAAAGTCAATAAGCAGGGTTTGTACATTTTATTATCAGCTGAGCTGTGATGAAAAGGAAAAAKACTGTCAAATACCGTGAAACCGGTGAAAATGTTGAAAATACTGTGATATAAAATTTTGATCATATCGCCCAGCTCTATAACAGACTCATGATCTGAAGGGGTGTGCAAATTGAGTCGAACTAAGTCATTAAGTCAGTGCTCCAGTACAGGAAAAAAAAAACAATGTACAATTATTATTTATGTAATGATTGAGAGGTAGAGTTGTTTGGCATGCAAACACAAACATGGATGCTTATCAGGATTGTTGGGAGCAGTGATGTTATAGAGTCTAAGAGCTGATGGGAGGAATGATCTGCGGTAACTACGATGTGTGGAAGTAGCCGAGAGTAATCCCCAGCACACACTCTAAATGCTAGCTAGATCTTTGTTCAAAACTTTCCATTCAACGTGGCAGGTGATACGAACTTTAATAAATACTAGGCTTTTCATTTGGTTGTTGCTTGTCATGCTTTATTTTGTGTATTTCAGTTCTGTATTTAGTTTTCTCATTGCACCAGTGCATTGTTATTTACTTCTAATGTGGCAAATACAACTTCTAAAGGCTAGCAATAAAACTTCATATCARACCACAAGCAAAACACATTAAATATTACTCTAAAGCTTGAAATTAGATGTTAGGTGTTAAAAAAATGTTTCCAAATAAGCAAATAACTCCCGAG